CCCCCCCCCCGCCCCCCCGCCGAACTCCGCTTTACAGTTTTCTAGCCCCGAAGGTGACAACCTCTCCGCGTATTCTCCCCATAAGTAGATATCTCTGTCGTTTATAGCGATCTTTGAATGAGGTCAGAGAAAGCTACGAAAAGGACTAAGTTGGTAATCTCCTTTGTTTTCCGAATTCTAATAAGTGGGTTGTTTAATACCTATCTGAGTGGCTGAATGCAATGTGCTACGCAAGACTTTTTTGAGAAAATGGGCAAATGAACTTCACCTGATGGTAGGGTGTGTAGAATGCTGGAGGTGGCAGGGGAGGAGATGGGGGCAGCATGAGGCTGTAATGCTGACCCTCCTGATTAGGTCGATGACCTTTCTCCCATGGCAGAGATGGCTCAGAGCGCTCGAAACAGAGCCACTTGCCCAGACAATGATCACGTTCACCCCGGCGGAGAGAATCTGTTGGAGCAAGAGATCAAAACACCCAATGACTCATGGAGATAAGAGAAAATGATAAAAGGGCAATTATCTCGAAAGTGCTACCTAATATTTAATTCCAACTTAAGGAATAAACACTGCTAGTTCACATGTCTTTTTAAGCCACTTAATTCTGTTCCGAATCGATGCCACCTTTTAAATACCGCTTTACCTACACCACCTTCCCGTTTCAAATAAGCAAAAATTTCTTCCCGAAGTAATATGAGAGAAAATGTTTTGCTTTGCAAAAAAAATGTGGTATGACTAACACCGAATAGTTTTTGTTTGCCAATCTGTGGTGTGCCTTGTCACCAAAACTCTTTTAAGGCCTGTCACAAATGAGTGAAAAGGCGACGAAAATGATAAAAATATTTGGTGACTACAAAGAAACTATTTCATGCTAAATGCATGGATCTCACTAGGATAATTCCAACTATGGAGCATCAGAAAGTAGACAACGTTGCTTCAGCCTAACACCTAATCTTCGACAAGGGGACACAAGTCACTTGAAATTACACACTTCAAGGTAATTTCATTGGTCACTTAACCGATCCTCTGAAGAGACGTCGGCAACGATTCAACTCACTAGTCGACGTTGGAGATAGTACTCCAACTCATCATCATCATCATCATCTCCTCATGCTAACATCATTTTCCAGCGTAAAAATTGTAGGTGACTTAACTGAAAAGTATCTAGGATTTAACTGCCTTTTCGTAAATAACGGAAGCTTGTTTGAATATTGGTTAAAATATGCAAAGTTCAACTTTTTGGCTTTAATTTAACTATGCAGTTATTTTAAAGAAAACTACCCAACAGCCATTAAAGTAAATACTATTCTGGAAAATCTCCATTATGGAAAAATTCCAGATAAAATTTTACCCATATGCTCTGCATTTTCGTAAATTTCCTTTGAAACTTAAATGTTATTTCTAGTAAAACAAAGCATGAATTTATACATTTGACCTTCCAAAGTTGGAGATCACTGAAAAGAAAAAAGACATTCCCATTTTTATAATCTCTTCTTGGCGTCATAATAAAGTCACAACTGCATTGACTCTAGTGAGAAATGAAACCTGTAACTTAAAAGACGCGCCAAGTTGACTTAATAAAATAAGTCAACTTAGATGGGCTGAAAAGGCGATAAATTAGCCAATAATTGCTCTGACGATTCCTCCAGAAGTAGGCTAACATATCATCGTGGCCAGCTAATCGAATCAATAATCCAATGCCTGAGTTATGAAACTTCCTAATTTTTCTCAGGCGTAGCAAAACTATTCAATTACGTTTCCGTACGTATTGATTGGCAGGCCAAGCAGCCAATCGCATTTCAAATATTGAATCCTATTTTGTAAAGTAATTGACGCCATTTGTGAAATATGCCGTTTCAATCCCTCTTCCTTGACTCCGAGAAATAAAGAAATTAAATAGCTAACTAAGATTGAGTTATTTGTATTGGTCACCATGTTGTTCACACGGAAGGAGTTCAAGATGGAAAGCGGAGAAGTGGATCATTAATATGAAATTATTTTAAAGTAAAACTATTAGGTTACGGTTGCTACAATTGATCGAAACTCATTTCTCAGTGTATGAGAAGATTTAATTCCTTAATTGTGGAATTTACCTTTGTTTTCGCTATAAAAATGCTAGTAATACTATATAAATAGGCGTGTTTAATGATAAAGTTGAAATCAAAAGTGACTGAAATTTAAATTTTTTTGAAAGCTTACCGAAGTAGCACTTAGTTAGAGCACATCGAACGGAGAGGATAACATTCAGGAGAATTGCGATGATTGTCAAGGCAATAAGAGTCAGGGTAACCTCCGGTCGAAGTTTGGTTAGTCCTAAATTAGAAATTGAAAGATGGCATTGCAGCTTAACAAATTGTATTCAGATTGCGCTACCCCCTACCGCTTGTACTTACCCCAGAAAATTTTTCTACCTGAAGATTCACTGCCTGTTTGAGGAGAACTTTGAACAAACGTTGTTGGATCTGAAATTCATGAGCAAATACGTCAAATATGCTTTCAAAGAGAGTTTGTATTTGATATCCTTGCAGAAACGATTAAATTTGAGAATAAAGAGGAGGAACTACTTAGTAAGAAAAGATCCTACAACTCGAGTCCATGGTGAAGTGAATGAAGTGAGAATACGCGGTATCTTCCGGTTATTCTCAGTCTCCTTTTGATCTCCTTTGTTTAAAGATTCCAGCCGCATTGCACTTTTAAAAAAAACCAATCATTTTGTTGAGCTTCACTGTAGGCAATCATCTTATTATAAATGCCCATTTATATATTAGTAGTATAGAAGAATTGTATTCTTCCGGTTCAGCCGCAAGGAGTTGGGAATATCGGAGTGTAAGAGAAAGTGACCTGCAGCAGTTTTAACACCAAAGTCACCTAACCCTCTCTCTCCCTCTCTTGGTCAGATTGGCTTGATGAATGTTGTGAATCGAGTTCTCGAAATGGCGTTCAGTGCAGTATGCGTTAATTGATAAATTTTCAACATGCTCGAGGAAAGCTAATGTCTGAGCACTTCAACAACTTCCGGATTCTTATGAAGGCTTAAATCAAATCGAAAGTAGGATTCATTTTATCAGCTCGATTGTTGTCCTTTAATTAACCGAATTATTACTTGTCATTGACAATTAATTGCCTCAATACTCCTGGTATCCCTTTCTTAATGGAATTTTCCAGTTTAAGTTTGAAGCAGAGCACTGTGGGATGCTGGAAATAAGAAGAAAGTGCCTTGGAGAGGGAGGGAGAGAGATGAGAGAGGAGACTTGGTACTGTGAAAAGTTGACAAAGGTGTGTGCGTATATGTTTATAAAAGGGACTTTCTGGGCTTGTATTTGAGGCGTAGCATAAACAGACGGATTGGATCCAGACATCGGTGATGGGGAGGAGGGGGACGGAGGGGGGGAGAGGCGAGAATTGAACCCAAGGTGACGCCCGATCATGTGCCATATAAGTAGAATAGAGCAGTAATTAAAGCAAATCATTTTAAAACGCATGATTTGACTCCATAAGAGACACCTGAAGTCACCTCAGGATTGAGCAAGATGTGCACACATAAAAGATCCGAACGCTCCAAGCATTTAATCATTCTACACGCCTCCGCCACCCAAAACTGTTCCAATAAAAGCGAAACCTGTCAAAATGTCATAGATTAAAGAAACTCCCCTTAATCAATTCATATTTAGTGGCATTTATGACAGGTATGCACCGCTTAGGATAGATTTTTTATAGCTTTAACAGTTCCTGCTGTTCTAATTGAATGGGATGATTAGTGGTGCAATTAATAGCTCTGCCAAAACATGTATTTATGAAAATAAGACAGGGATTTATAAATGAAATTAAGTTTCAATTATGATTTTTATAACATAACTATCAATTTCAGAATAGAATGGATTGCATGATGGGCATATCATCTGCATGCATATTTTTGTCAGTTCCAAGGTGCCCAAAATTTGGTTTATTTAAAGAAATCCACGTCAAATGAAATATGCAACTGGGCAAATTAAACGGAATAATAATTGCCCTCTTTAAAATAGGATAAAGTAATCAACTAGGTCTATTTTGAACAAAACTGAGATAGCTTGATTAATGTTGCGGTTTCTGTAAACTTTACCGACTTCTATCATGGTAGGAACGCTTTCAAATCGATTAAATGCCAACGGAATAATCAGATCAATAAAATTCTAGTGAAAAAATGAAAGAAACAATTAATTAAAATATTTACAAATTAATTACATATCGATTTAGGATGAACTGCTAGGAAAACGTCCATCAACTGAGGGAGAGGGAGAGAGAGAGGAAGTGAGGGAGGTGGAGGGGATTTCTCATGCCTTGAGAACAAATAAACAGAGTCTTGTATTCTGTAAGTGTATGGGCTAGATCGCATCAGGATATCAGGAATTGCTTAAGTGGGATTACATCTAAACTGAACTTTCACATAAAAAAATATGCAAAAAAACTCTGATGGCAAGCAGCTGTTTTCGAGCAAAAGGGTGTTTAATAGGATTTAAATGTGGTATTAAAATTTCCCGATGAAGTGGACTTCCCACCCACCCCCCACCCCCTCCCCNCCCCCCCCCCCCCCCCCCCCCCCCCCCCAATTTAGTTAATTTAGCTGTAAAAAGAATTACTGGATGGCGGGGCGGCAGACTTCAACTTAATTTACTCAAAACTCTCAATCGAGTTTCCACTAACTCATCCACTAATCCACTTTTTCTCCCAGTTTCAAAAATCATCGACCTGCTCCCATCATTTGATTCTTCTTTCCTCCTCTGATAAAAAGACAGAGGGAAAAAGACAACTGCATCCATTTTATCGGCTTTGAAATTTGTTGGCAATATCGATAGAACCAGAGTTACCTCAACTGACAGGTACATCATCTCCTTTTTTGACTACGTGGGATGTGCGATAGACTTACCTCCACGTGGGCAACGTATACTCATACGACAAAAAGCCTATTAACCGGCAGTTGACTTCTCACTTCTAACCACCATCACCCCACTGTATGTCATATTCGACCCCTTTCACATTACTCACCTCACCTTTTTTCTACCTTTGTGACTGTTTCTTTTACATCTTTGAAACACTCTTCTGTTCCCCCCCCCTCTCGACTTTTTCAATTTGATGTTCCTTCCCATCTGTGATCCCTGAAGTCAACTAAAGTGCTAATGATAACTATCAAAACGCCCGCCATTTGATATAAACAAATAAATAAATAATTTGACTACCTACACGCACAAAGTTCACCGGATAATCCGTCTATTCACCAGATTTTACGTGGACTAACAAGATTCACTTTTTGTTAAGTTAGGTCTGTTTGAATACAAATATAGCAAGGAATAAAAAAAGGTTGATTTTAATGTTCACTTTCTCCTTATTCTTCAAAAAACTACACCGATTGGGGAGATTTTCGAATCCTGTCACCCGAGGACTAAAACGCCTGTCGGAAATACTATTCCGAATTTCTCAAACTGCGGAAACTTATTTCCTGAAAATAAGTCTTAAAACAAACTTTACTTTACGTGCCTGAAATGCAAAGTCTATTGGGAACATAGCCCATTGGAAGGGGAAACTGGGAAAGCCCCACTGTCGAGAAACACGTGGAGGGGAATTTGGGGGCTCTCTTCCGCCTCTCCCACACCCCACCCCCCAACCCGCCCACCACCCCACACCCCCAACATGGTTTCAGATAATTAAATAAGTGAACTGAGTCACGGTTTACATTAACCAGCTAATTTTAAACCTCCAATTTGTACCATAGTTTGACAGTTAACAAACATTTGTTAAAACCTTCACTTTCCAAATGGAAAACTTAAGGCAAGTGGGACTTCTTCACTATCGCAATAGCACACTTCTTGTTAACCATTTGAATGAAATAAAGTGGCTGAAATTACCTCCAGCCCCAACAAATTTCCCACAAGGAATTTAAAACTCTTGTTTAACTGCAATCATTGATATTGTTTGAATGGGGTACCCTATAGACACACCTCCACGTGGTGCTCCCTGGGAAATATATACTCTTATGGCAAAAAAGTACAAGAATATTTTGATATTACACAATTAACGCACCCCCCAAAAAAAACTTAAAAAATGTTCAATTAAACCGAGAAGTAGTTGAGTGGAGGAGTAGACGAGGATGTCATTGATGTAAGAGGCATCAATGGAGGTAATCATCGGCGATGTGAGGCCGATTGCAATGGCGAGTGGGCTATTCTCGAATAATTTAGTTCAGACAAATGGCCTTGTTGCATGGAATGGGATTATCTGTTGGCAACATTTTCTGCCAAAATATAATTAATCAAACTACACAATAGTACACATACGATTCTACTAGTCATGGCGAAACGGCATTAGTCTTGTTGACCGTTGTGTCAGAGGCTGCTTTTTTGACTTCAGGCAATTTACATTACCACCCAGAATTCAAACCCCTGTGCGTGAATACATTCACAAGGATCTATCACAAAATCTCCGTAGCATGCTTCGTTTAAGTACTGTTCACCATTTTACTCCAAAGTGTGATGTGATGTGATGTGGTTGGGGGGGGGGGGGGGGGGGGGGGGTTGGGGAGGGGGAGAGATGGACGCAGCAGGTGCTTCTGTGAGTTCTCTTTTTGGGGGCGCTTTTATGCTTCTCCATAAACATTCAACTCGTCCACGTTATTAATGGAACTACGTGGGGTGTGCGATAGACTTACCTCCACGCGGTGCACCCTGGGCAACGTATATTCATACGGCAAAAAAGTCTATTAACCGGCAGTCGACTTCTGACTTCAAACTGCCATGACCCCACTGTATGTCATATTCGAATACTTCCACAGCACTCACCTCACCTTTTTTCTACCTTTGTGTCTTTCTCTTTAACATCTTTAAAACACTCTTCTGTTCCCCCCTCTAGATTTTTTTCAATTTGATGTTCCTTCCTCTCTGTGTAGCCTGAAGTCAACTAAAGGGCTAACGATTACTATCAAAACGCCTGCAATGTGATATAAATAAATAAATATATAAATATTCGACAACTTCCACAGTATCCATCTTACCTTTTCTCTGACTTTATGGCTGTCTGTATCTTTTACATCTTTAAAACACTCTTCTGCC